GGACACCTTCAAGTCAGCTGGTCCTGACAGATTACACCCTAGAGTACTCAAGGAGCTGGCAGGTGTCATAGCCCAACCATTGGCAAAAATATTTGAAAACTCATGGCGCTCAGGTAAAGTACCTGAAGACTGGAAGAAGGCCAACGTGGTACCCATCTGCAAGAAAGGGCAGAAAGTAGATCCTGGTAATTACAGGCTAATCAGCTTGACTTCAATCCCCAGTGAGATTCTGGAGAAAATTATCGAGGAAACCCTTCTGGATAAGCTGGCTGAAGGTAACATCCTGAGAGATAGCCAGCATGGGTTTGTCGTGGGTAGGTCTTGCCTGACCAATCTCATCATCTATGACCAGGTGACATATCACCTGCACAAGGGAGAAGAGATTGACGTCATATATCTGGACTTTAAAAAAGATTTTGATTTAGTGTTCCATGACTTTCTCATGGAAAAATTGGCCAACTGTGGCCTTGGCTATGCCACAGTCTGATGGCTGGGAAATTAGCTCCGAGGTTGGACCCAGAGAGTAGTGGCTGATGCTAGTGAATCGCTATGGTGCTCTGTGACCAGTGGCATCCCCCAAGGCTCTGTCCTTGGACCAGTTCTCTTAAACATCTTTATCAATGATGTGGACACTGGTGTCAGAAGCACACTGGCTAAGTTCACCGATAACACTAAACTTTGGGGCATGGTGTCCACACCTGAGGACAGGCTAGTGATCCAGGCTGACTTGGATAAACTTAGTAAGTGGGCAGATACAAACCTGATGACGTTCAATACCGATAAAGGTAAGGTACTTCAACTTGGGGAGAAAAACCCCGCAGCATGCATATAGGCTCAGCAGTGCTACGCCTGCTACCACCACTGCTGAAAGAGACTTGGGGGTCATGACTGACCACAAGATGAACATGAGCCACCAATATGATGTCGCAGCTGGTAAAGCAAACAAAATGCTGGCTTGCATCCATAGATGCTTCTCAAGTAAATCTCAGGATGTCATCCTCCCACTGTACCCGGCCTTGGTGAGGCCGCAGCTGGAGTACTGCATCCAGTTTTGGGCTCCACAGTTCAAAAAGGATGTGGAGAAGCTTGAGAGAGTCCAGAGGAGAGCCACGCACATGATTGGAGGGCAAGAGAATAGGCCTTACGAAGAGAGGCTGAGAGCCATGGGACTCTTCAGCCTAGAAGAACGCAGGCTCGGGGGGACATGGTGGCTGCTTATAAGTACGTAAGGGGTGTACATCAGGATCTGGGAGAACCAGGGTCTGTTCACCAGAGGTCCCCAAGGAAAAATAAGGACCAACAGCCATAAACTCCTCCAAGACCATTTCAGGCTGGACGTAAGGAAAAACTTCTTTACTGTCTGAGCCCCCAAGCCGTAGAATAGACTCCCTCCAGAGGTGGTGCAGGCACCTATGCTGGACCCATTCAAGAAATGTGTGGATGCTTATCTTGCTGGAAACCTTTGACCCTTGTTAACCCATGTGACTTCCTGCCCCTGGGACAGGGGGCTGGACTTGATGATCTTCAAGGTCCCTTCCAGCCCTAATGTCTATGAAATCTATGAAATCGAAATCAAGCCTCTTCAGATTCACCAATCACCAGTCATAATGTGCTATACAGCCAAAGTACAGATGATTTCAAAATATTTCACAAATGATGTCATAAAGCACTTACAAATAACTGCATGTCACTCATGCTGATAGTCCTACAGAAAGTAATACAGCAAATTAGAGTGGAAGAGGAAGATTCAAAATGATTTACACATCTTAATGGCATATTACAATGAATTTGGAAAAATATTTTCTATTAATTGCAGACAATATCACTTCTATGGCCTTAGACCCCACTGTGGATCCCAAACCATTCTTCTACCCCATCAGATTATTTACACTATAGGGAACTGTACTTGTGTCCATGTATGAGGGTTTGAAGCAGTGATTTGGAGGGATTCCTTGGGTCAGTGACTGCCTGTAAACACAGGGGACTGCAATCAATGCTCCAGGATGACCCTTCTGTTCCTATGAAGTATTGCTACTTTCTTGTTGTCTATTTGCATTTTTCTTTCATGGTGCAGTACACACATAAATTAAGGAGAAAAGTATAAGACAGGAATAATAAATTGACCATAAATGCAAAATCCAAATTGACACAAGTTCCCATAAAAAAATGAAGTTCTTAAAAGACTTTTTGTGAAATGTCACCACTAGCATTCTGTTCTTATAACTGCTGACAGCTGAGAGTCAGATTCTCTAACTCTTCCACTGGGTAGCATCACTCCATGAACAGCACTCTGAAATCAAATATTGCAGTTTGGCTTAATCTAAAGCCCAGTCTGGTAGCCCTTACTCTAATAATTAGTCCTAAACACATTTATAGGCATACAGCCTTGAATCAGAAGCTAATCCTTTCCTCACTCAGAAAACATTGTTTCACGTTGCATTGCTTTTCCATTAGAATTAAATATTTGTTTGTCTGTTGCCAGAATAATTATAATTAGATTTTAAAAACAAATGTGTTTTAAAGGGGCACACGTTGCAATTAAAAGTTCCTGGATGTCAATTAGCAGTAACTAAATAAAAATATTCAGACAAGCTGCAAGAAGACAAGTTTTCCTCTTCGCTGCCTGTAAAATGTCATCTTTAAGGTCTCTGAAATTATGGTGTAAAGACAATTAATTAATACTTAAAAAAAAATTAAATGTCCTATGAATGGAATCTTTAAATTTGCAGAATAAAGTTAAAGGACCTACAAAGGGCGTTAACATAGAGAGAAACTGCAAAAGTTTAAGAATAGAAATAGAATAGGCTTTAATTTACACCTATCAGAGTGAGATGTTTAGCTTGATTAAAATTCTGGAATAGAAATTAATGTTCATGTAACACATCTATACTTGTTAGAAAGAAAGAAGGTGCAAAAAAATCCTCATTCTGTTCTCCCAAAAAAGCCAATTCAAGGGTTACAGCCAGGATTATACTGAATAAATAAGTGATTAATTCACAGCAAGAAAACAACACTATACACTGTTGTTAATCCTTGTTGTATCATGTATACAGCTGTCTGAAAATGGTAATGTAATAGATGTTTATAAACCAGCAAAAACCATTTGGAAATGCAGCTGGTTTTTTTTGGATTCTGAATGGCCCATTTCCCACAGAAACGGAGTAGTACATTGGGTTTATATGAAGTTGCAGCCCCTCCTTTGGACAGTGTAGTTGCAACAGCACTCAAGCTGGCAGCAGGAGCCACGGGCAGGTGTTGTACTGTACCTGTAATGCTATATTTACTTAAAACTTGTTTGAAAATTATTGGATGTTGTGGCTGTGTAGAAAACTTGGAAAAAGGATCCAAATATGAGCTACATTTCAGGAATCAGAAACATAGTTAACAATTTAATGTTCATGGATGAAGAAGGAAGGTCCAACTCACAAATTTTGAATGCTTGCACTTGGTGACTGTCAGTTTTTTTTAATTCCTATATCATGAGTCAGGGTGATACTAAGCTCTCCATTGCTCATCTTAACCAGTCACTGCAGGATTGGTTCACTGGAGGCCTGGTTCTGCTGGTTCACAGTGTAAATTTGGAGCGTCTTGCTAAAATGTGGATACCTTAAATGTCTCTTTTGGATTTGTGTTCTTTTCAATTATATACTTTTTGTTTCCCATGTCCATGGCAGGTGATCAGGAAGCCAGGTGCTGCTGTAATTTGGACATTGTACAGTTCAGCTATGAACTCCCAAGACTTGACTATACTTGAAACTTTTTAATGGAAAAAAAAGGAAAAAATCTTGTTACACACAGCTTTTATAAAGTGATTTGTAAGTTTTTAAAGCAGTAGTTGCTTATAAAGTTGCAATATATTTCAACTGACAAGAGAATTCAGGCTTTGGAAAGTGCAGATTCTACCTGTATTGTGTAATTAATTAGCAGCCCTTTGCTTGGGCATCTTAAGTTTCTCCCACTCTAAAATGTGCTTTTCTTTGCCTGAAAACTGGTGAAAGCTTATAATCAAATATAAAATACATTCCAAATTCCTCCTTGTGACCACCTGTAAAACTCTTCTTGAGCAGAAGAGGGGAGGATCTTACCTAGGGTTCAAATTATACTCCAATTCCTGGGGGCCAGGCTGTCTCTGGGGGGTGAGGGCAGAATCAGGGCGACTGCCCTGGGCCCAGTGGTCAGTGCCTTATAGGCCCCACTGTGGCCATCATGCGCTGCTGCTGCCAAGCACTGCCACCAAGTATTGCTGGCTCCAGCCACTCGCCACTCCCCGCCCTGCTGACCCCACACAGGCTGATGTGCCTGAGGCCCTGCATGCCCCAAGGGACAGCTCTGCTTGCAAGGGGTCTGCGGCGGTAGCACCAGGAAGCTGGAAGGAGTCACCACCACCTAAGCTGCTTAGAAAGACTCAGGTGCTCTTGTTGCTTATGAAGGGAGGCTTAGCCCCCCCTGAATTTCAAACCCTGATCTTAGCCCACAAGAGGCCAAGACATGATCAAGCCAGATGCGCACCTTCCCTTCATCCAGGGAGGCAACAGACACCTGAAAGACTCAACTAGCTCCAAAGTAGAAGCTTCCCAAGGGGACAGCCCCTTGTCCCTCAGACCACTGGGAAAATGGGATGCAGTCTAATCCACAAGGGGCTGCAGAAAAAGACGCAAAAACCCCCCAGAATCTAGTCATTCAAAACCCAGCACATGCAAAACGAAACTCAGAGAAAACAACAACCCCAGGCCAACGGAGCTGATATTGCCATCAACCAATAGCTCCGAATCGGTACCCCTCGCTCCCCCCCACTTTTGCCTGGCCCAAGCTCTGGCTGGGACACGTGCTACAGCCAGAACCCGCTGTGTTGTGTTCGCGGCTGCTTGCTTCCAATAAAGCTTGAGCATTCAAAAAAAAAAAAAAAGCACCAGGCGGAACGGCTCCTACGCCGCCGAGAAAAACCATAAAGACGGCGGCTAGAAAGCCGACCTGCTGCCCAGTACGCATGCGCAACGAGCACGGTAGCTGCTCTGTTGCTAGCGACTCGGTGGTCAAGGAGCCCGCATGCGCAGTAGCTGGAGCACGGTTCCAGGCGGCGGGGCAGCATGGCGGAGGCAGAGTGAGTACTGCTGGGGGAGGAGGAGGATCCGCGTGCATCCGCGGGGCAGGCGAGGTCTGTTGGGCGCGGCCGGGCGCCGGGAGGGTTGTGGAGCTGCTGCTGCCGCCCGTGGGGCCAGAAGGACCCCCCCATGGGCTGGGCTGAATGGGGCGGGTGCTGCGGGGCTCTGGGGCCTGCAGCTGCCTGGTAGCTGTGGCCTGACGGGTTGCTCTCTCTTTGCCTTGGCCTTAGACCCAAGCCGAAGATCCCGCGGGTGCCGGAGAACTTGCTGAAGAAGAGGAAGGCGTATCTGGCCATCAAGGCCACACAGGCCAAGCAGGCGCTGCTGGACAAGAGGAAGGTTAAGATCCAGCCACACGAAGCCATGTCTGGGATGATCTAGTTAGGATGGTCCTGCTTTGAGTAGGGGGCTGGACTTGATGACCTCCTGAGGTCCCTTGTAACCCACTTTTTCTATGATTCAAAGGTAGGGGCGGGCGTGCCATGGGAGCGCTGGCACTCACCCCCAGGGTGAGCGGGCTCTGGCAGCTGCTCTGTCCCCAGTGCTTGGCCAGAGGGAAAGCTCCCAAGGTGGACCGTACTCGGAAGCACTTGGCATGCAACCAGTTGCTCAGTGCCCGGGTTGTTGGGCAGGTGATGTGGAGACTTGTTGAAGGATGTTCAATGTGAAAGGGGCTTGCTGTCTTCTGTGATGCAGTAGTGTGTGTGGGAGGAGCAGGGGGTGACAGCTAAGAGTTAGATTCTGTAACTCTTCCACTGGGTAGCATCACTCCATGAACAGCCCTCTGAAATCAAATATTCAGCAGGGGGTGCACAAGCCTGGCTAGGCTGCTTCCAGTACCTGGGCGACTAGCAGGGTTAGAGCTAGTTTGGGTGTTGACGCTTGGCACTGTATTGTGCTGCCCAGGTGTCCAGAGGAGCAGATATAGTTGACGGGCTGTATGGCGAAGGCTGCTTGCAGGCTTGATGGGGCGCTTGATGCTTTTTTTCTGTACGGCTTATGTGGTGCACAGGAGGGGAGTTATAGTGCTGCAGCCTGTCAACACGATTAGGGCTGGATATCTGTTCTTAAGTACTTTAAGAGTTCTGTTGTTGTAGTAGGTACCTGCCATGAGAACTTTTTAAAATCTTGCATGGGCATCCCAGAAGATGGGGCTGGGATGGACCTAGCATGGGCATATAATCTATCTTGGTGTCCCAAGGCAGGATCACCTATTTGTCTGACGTGCTCTTAAGTCCTCAATGATGGGGAGTGTATGAACTCCTTTAGGCAGTCTGTTCTAGTGCTTAATGATTAGGGGTCTACTCCATTCATGATTTTGCAGAAACTGCCAAATCTGAGATTTGTCTGCAAAATCAACGTCCAGTCAGCACTGAGGGGCGGAGCTGCACAATCTTTCCTCCTTCCAGGAATCTTTAATATCCTTAGTTTAGGCATTGGGATTGGAAAAAATAAGTCACGTCTTGGGTTTTGAGTACGTGTAACAAACATCTGAGGGAACTATGAAATTCCTAACATTTCGGATTTCATAGACATTAGGGCTGGAAGGGACCTTGAAGATCATCAAGTCCAGCCCCCTGCCCCAGGGGCAGGAAGTCCACTAAGGTCAAAGGATCTCAGTAAGATAAACGTCCAAACGTTTCTTGAATGGGTCCAGAGTAGGTGCCTGCACCACTTCTGGAGGGAGTCTATTCCAGGCCTTGAGGGCTCGGACAGTAAAGAAGTTTTTCCTTATGTCCAGCCTAAAATGGTCTTGGAGGAGTTTATGACTGTTGGTCCTTGTTGTCCCTCAGGACACTCTGGTGAACAGACGTTCCCCCAGATCCTCATGCACACCCCTCTTGTACTTATTGGCAGCCACCAGGTCTCCCCTGAGCCTGCACTTTTCCAGGCTGAAGAGTCCCATGGCCCTCAGCCTCTCCTCATAAGGCCTATTCTCTTGCCCTGTAATTATAGAAAAAAAGAGCCTGGGCCCACACAGACACTTGGCCCAGCCCATAGCTGACAGGATTCTACAGGTGTGGGATTTCTCTGATGTGCATACTTGGTATGAGCTGGTAACAGTGTCCCGGGAAACCTTCATAAGACCTGGTTCTCAGTTTCCCAAAACTTTACCAGATTTAACCTGTTCATACTGAAGTTTTCTATAAGTGCCTTGACCTGAATCTTTGTGGTAGACTTGAGGCAATAGGCTGAGGGAGATTTTGGCAAAATAATCTATGCCAAAAAATGCTGCTGCTTTTAGCACTTTCAGCGCAAAACACTCACCCTGGTCAGAAATTTTTGTTGGTATAGGTTTCATGAATTTAATATTGTCTGTTTCCAGTTTGGCCTTGGCTCTAAATTTTTTCTGTCTCTTCTTTGCTAAAAGGCAGCGAGGAGAGAGAGCATAGGTTACAGAGTTTCTTGACTTTTAGCTGCGAATGTCTTTTCCCTGATGCTATGGGTTTGCAAGCAGGGTTTGTGAATTGTGATCTTTTTCTTTCTGCCCTTAGAATCAGAAGGGGAAACAGATCCAATTCAAACGTCTTGAGACATTTGTTAGAGATTCACGGCGCAAACACCGAGATGATGTCCGTCTCAGGCGCATGGAACAGAGGCCTGGGCAAATGGTTCTGCCCCAGGGACACAAGCTGGCCTTTGTTGTACGGATTGCAGAGTAAGGAATTCTGTTTATGCTATTTTTTGTGCTGATTATCTCTACTTGCCATCTAAATGTCTTGATTTTTCCATTTGCACTGTGGAGAAAAGCTGAGGCTGGAGGTAACAGAGAGGTGACTGCAGGGAACAGTATCTCTCTCTTCCTGTGTGGGAAAAGTACTGTCACTGATTATGGTTTTTCTTATTCAGGATTAAAGGAGTGAGTTTGAGAGTACGAAGAGTCATAGAAATGCTACGGTTGAGGAAGATTTTCAGTGGCATGTTTGTTAAGCTGTGCCCATCCTCACTGAAGATGCTGCGGATTGTAGAGCCGTATGTGGCATGGGGGTAAGTGCTCCTCTGACTTTCGTAATAGAGTGATAAACTGTAAATATTAATATTTAGTGTCTTTCTAATGTAATTTTCTTTCTGGTGTAGCGATATAATAAAATCATGCTATAGCATGATGCTGTGTTATAGGACGATGGCTCTTCCGGTGTAATCCTCAGCTTTGGCATTTAGATCATTATAATGCATGTTATAGTTCCTTTTTTGCCTGCTGGACTGCACAGTTCCTCTCAACCTCTGGAACAGTAGTGCAGTAGGGAAAATCCACTTTGCTCTTTGCTAGTGTTAAACCACAAATGTCTTGGCACAGGTATCCTAATCTGAAATCTATACGAGAACTCATCCTGAAACGAGGTCAAGCAAAGATCAATAAGAAGAAAGTTCCTTTAACAGACAACACTGTAATAGAGGAGCACTTAGGTGAGGAAGAAGACAGAGGCAGTGAACTCGGCAAAGAGGGGGATTGTAAAGTCTGTGGGTTTGCAACATGATGGGAGGGGGGGCAGGAACTAGAAGGTAGCAAAAGATTTCTGTGTTTGGGAATATGGAGGTGGTCATGTGAGGCACAGAAAGATTTTACATGTTTCTCCTTTTTAATGGGTACATATTTGTTCTGCAGGAAAGTTTGGCCTTATATGCCTGGAAGATCTCATTCATGAAATCTACTCAGCTGGTCAGCATTTTCGAGAAGTTAATAACTTTCTGTGGCCATTTTATCTTTCGGTGGCTCGCCATGCCGCACGTAACAGAGTGGGTTTCCTAAAGGAGATAGGCTCGACAGGTTGCCGAGGCGAAGGAATTAATGAACTTATACGTCACCTGAACTAATTGGGTGAGGAGTTGCCACTTCCCTCTTACAAAACCCAGGTGGAACATTATTTTACTCTATCTGATTTCTTTAAAATATTCTTGTGGGGCCTTGTTAGTGGGTGGGGATTTCTTTGTGTTTAGCCCTTCACCATGCAGAAATGACCATCAAAGCAGGAGGAACTGTGAAACGCTTATAGGGAAATGCTAGCAGCCTGTCAAGTGTGCAGATACTTGTATTGCGAGCAAAGCATTTGGGGATCTCCTAGGCATTGTGTAAATAAGATGTGATAAATTGATATTCTTAGGCCCTCTACAGTATTTTCCTTTAGCAATCAGTAGTCCAACTGAACTTATGTTTGGAGGCTATGTGTTGTCTTAAAAGACAGCTAAAAAAGCTCTCTTTTTCTGCTTTCTAGGATTTATCTGAAGGTGTTTTGATGGCTCTTTTCTTCCCTATGTACATCTCTTCTTGCTCCTGGAACTACTCTACATAATATTACAATTTTTTTCTGGAAAGTGCATGGAGGATGGAGATGAACTCAATACTGAGCCTTCTACCAGGAAAAAGTGAAATTTGCTGTCAAATGCAAAAAAGGAGTGACTTGCTGTTGCTGGAAGCAGTGCTTTCTTCAATCTCATTACTAAAACAAACACACTTTTACTGTTCGTTTTGTATCAGCTGCCTTCTGAGGGTTCCATTTTCTTTGGAATGCCCTTGCATGGGTTTATATTCTTGTTACATATAAATGATTGGTGGCTTGCATCTGAGTATCTTGTGATACAACCTTCCCAAACAGAATCAGTTTCTCTAGTGATGCTGTACTTGCTGTAGAAGTATGCTTCACTCCTTGGTATCCCAGTTGCTTGCTAAGACTTGTATCTGTCCTGGTACGCAGTGAAGGCTGAGAAGCACAGTGTTTCTCAGACTGTTGCCGTTCAAGCCCCCAGGATAAAACAGTCTTCGTAGATGGTTCTTGAATTTTTGAAATACCCAGATCATATTGAAGTGGAATCTCTGCTAATGGACTATGGGATGGCTTTCAGATTCTGCCAAATTCGGACTTCAAAGGACTCAAGTTTTCCTTTTAGGGAAATAAAGTTGACTACCAGTTTAGTACTAATATAAAGAGAATATATGGACTGTCTCATTCAGATTTCAAATAAATATATTTTTAAATCAAACTCTAGATTATTGAAGGAATGTCTATACACAGCAAATTATTAATTTAGAAAGGCAGATTTCTGCAGTGAAACTGAGCAGCTGCTCATGTTAAACTAGGGAGTTTGATGTCCCTTAACCTAGATAGTAATGGCACAGAAAATAGAATGGTTCACTGACTACTGTGTAAAATTAAAGTGGGGTTACATTAGTTGGAGAGGATTATCTTTGCTGACTATTGTAGACATTGAATTCCATAGTTAACGTAGCAAAGGAAGCTCTGAGTCTGGCTTGCTAATCTCGCCTAGTATTAATAGAAGGAGGTGAAAAGTCCTGCTGTATTTCTGTAAAAATGTTTTTTTCTCATGTAACTTCAGCATTAACTGTTGCGTGGATAATTTTTGCCATGAGTTGAAACCAGAGTTTAGGTTTTAGTGAATTTGAGATGCTCTCTCTTCCTTTTGATGGCAAATTTGTTAATGGGTGCTCCCCTCAGTGCCCCTCCCTGTACCTTGTGTGTTAGAAGTAGACTTTATCCTGATCATTTTGGACAGACATGTTGCTCAAAAGTCTGAATTCAGATTTTAAGTTCTTACAAGGTCTTAGGGGAAAGATGGACTAGTTCATACTGGAGTAAGGAGGAATGCATGAATGCTTCTTTTGTGGTCTTGAGCAAGCCATTCCTCCTCCTCCCTTTGGGGGGGGGGGGGGTGTGTGTGTGTGTTGCAAGTGCAAAGGCTATTGCAGATGTATTATATTTGTACTTCTACTGGGGACTCCTACCAAGTATACAAATGTTGTGTTTTGATTTACCCCCCTGGCCCTCCTCTTCCCCTCATAATCCTTATACCAGCACATTTCACTCATTTTAAGAAACCCTCTTTTCTTGTTGCTTGTTACTGTTTGCTTTTTTTCACCCATCATGTTAACCGCTCAAAACCTTTTTCGTTGTTGAATAGTGACATTAGAAAACCTAACAGAGATGTATTAATCAATAGGTTTATAGCCTTAACTGTTGTAAGGCCTAAACTACATAGAGAAGTTACATCAGTTTAATTTAAATTGGCTTTTAAACAAAGACAAAGCCTAGACTCATAGTCTTTCACATTTTAAGACTAGTTTATTCAGTTATACCTTCATCTTGTTTGTTTGGAATTGGCTGAAGTTTAATTCAAGTTAAGTTTCCCCAGCTGTCTTGAACTGACTTACTGGTTTAAAATTACATCCCATGGTGAAATGATGCGCTTCTTTTGTAGACAAGCCCTGGAGTTTTCTGGTGGGTTGTTTTTTTTTCCAGTTGCTTCTTCCATACAAGAACTGAGACTGGGAAGGAAAAATTCTCTTCATTTGCTTGTTATGCAAGCAGGGTGCTGGGCTTAAGATCTCAGTCTTTTCCTTCTCCTTCCCTTCTCACATTACAGTAGTTGAGGGTTTGACTAATGTAAGACCTAACATAAAATTCAGACTCAAAATTGAGCGAATGCACAAAAGCTTTTGTAACTACCTTGCTGTAATCACCTGACTCCCAGGTATTTTTCCTGCTTGGTGCAGGGGGCTGGACCCAATGATCTTCCAAGGTCCCTTCTGGCCTTATAATTTATGAATGTTAGGGTTTGAACGTGGACTGTAAAAGGCTAAGATAAAAATATTAATCTTGAGTAGTGCTTTTTCCTCCAGTAAGTAACTGGTTTTAATTATAGTGAGAATGCTAGGGCTAACAGTAAACTGTAGTCTGATTTCTTTTGATTGCTATGCAGTTAACAAAAGCCTCTAAATTAACATTCAGACTTCATTCTGTTTTGGTCCTGTACCTTGTTGGTGCACAGGGAGAGAAGACTTGCAAGATGTCTCATAGTTTATCTTTCAGAAGCCCCTAGATGTCAGCATGCAAGGGTTCTTTTAGTACAAATTTTAAAAGTCTCTTAAAAGTATCCCATTTGATTTAGCATTTTGTCTTATCAGACATGGTTGAAGCTTATGCAAAAAACCCCCAACAAAACAAAAACACCTGATTCAACCACTTCTCAGTATGTAGTCAAAAACTTAAAGGAACTCAGAATCGCACTTTAGTGCTAACAAGGATGATCAACGAGAAACTTCCATATACAAGATAAGTTTTAAATGCTGATGACTTTACTGGATTCAAAAGGGAATTGGACAGATTCATGCAGGATATGTTCAGCTTTTGGTATTAAGCAGGGGTACTATGTCCGACTTATAACTTCCTAGGTTTTCTGATTGTTGGTTTAAGGAAAGTAGATAGATTAGGCTGGATAGACCTTGCATGTTCTCTTACCTTTACTATCTACTCTGCCAGTATGAAATGCGGGATACTGGGCAAGATGGACCTGTAGTCTGACCCAGTGTGATGCATCTTATGTTCTTACTGTATCTCTCATCCTAGTGTAGACAGTTTAATTAAGCAGTTTTGCTCTCCTGGCCAATCTGAACCATTGCAAGAGCAGCCGTAGTTTAAATTTTAAAATTTTAATGGATATTGTTGGAAGGTCTGAGCCATGGTTTGGGAATCAGTGATACAGATCACATATCTTATTTCATGCTATGGCCATTCTACAGTATTTTCCCAACTTGTCTGTTTTCTGAATTACCCTGTTTATTTTTTCCATATCATTGTTTTCTCATCTCCAACTTTGTCCTTGTCTGTAGATGTTTACAAACATTTTTCTTCCTGCTCAGTAAAAGTTTAAACAAATTTAAGAGGGATCTTTAGAGTACTTCAGTATGTTCTGTAAGCTCAGTATATTATGGTTAATGCCTACTTCAGCTAGTTTTAATTAATATATGATATTAATATTAAAACCAGCCATAATTAATTTCATTAGGGTTTTTATCACCTCACCAAGATTTTGTTTGCCTTTTGGCAAAATGCTGATATAATAATCTTGAGAATCTATCGTCTAAAGAAAAGGGAGGCCTTGGTAAGAGCAAGCGTTTGTCCACACTAAATTGCCTCTACCACTTGAGTACAATAGTTGGTGGTCATCCTCTCTGTGCATCATAAAGAAACTGCCGCAGATATTTGACAAAAACAGACAAAAAATGCTTGGGAACTATAACTTCTGTTCTAAGCTTTGAAGGGCAGTAATTTTCTGGAACACCCACTTGTACCTTGTTCAAGCTCCTATTTCTTCCCTGCCCATTTTCTTGCTCTAATCCATTCTGCAGGTCATGTCCGATGCAGTCTATTCAGATTTCCTTGTTTTCTTTTCCCTTCTGATGCATCCCCAAAACTCATGTAACAATGGATAAATTGGGACAATTCAACACTCATTCCATCTTGTTGGAATTGGACTGAGCTACTGACAGGCCAATAGGTGTACAATTAAGTGACTGTTCTAAACTACTATAAAAATACAGTGTATTAGATAGCAATATAACAACACTGATTAATGACTGTACCTACACTGTTAGTTAGAAACATTTGATCAGAATACTTACAACTGGGCTAACAAAGGAAATTCTGAATGTCTCAAGCTGGCTGGCTTCAGCAGATCAGGTCCTACTAGTAAATAATCCTTCTTTTCTCCATCTTAGCCTAGATTTCTCATTACATAGTCTCCTTTTGAGTTCTAACAACTAATTTCATCTAGCTTGGAACTACCACTAATTTTATCAATCCCAATATGCAAAACCACATGGGTTTCATGTCCATTCTTGGACCCACCCTTTTCTTCTAAATTACTTTATGGTTTATCACACTCCATCCTAACAACATTCGCATCTTTACTGTCTGTCTCCTCTTAAACCACAGATTCCTGCAATACTCATGTTCATACCCAATATAATATCCGATCACCTACTACAGGGGTGTGATGGGCTGGATTGGGTTCCACCAGCACACAGGGCTGCACACTCTCCACACTAGCCTCTGTGCCATGTGCAGCATGTGCTGGCCCTGTTTTTGGGCTTGCAGTCCAGGTGGTGCATGGACTGGAACTGCTGCTGTGGGTACTACATGTGGCCTAAAGGGCTGGCATGGGATGTGTACTGCATGTTGTACTCTACTGGTCTAGCCCTGAGTGCTGATTCTAGGACTGGTCTGAACTGGACAATGCCAGAGCTAGGGCATGGCCCCCCCAGTAGGTCACAACATGTAGCTTGTGCCAGTTGTGTGTGCTGCCTACAGCATAAGTTCTAGAATGACCAGGCATGCTGCAGGTGCACAGAGCTGGTCCAGCTACATGCACTGCTTATGTGATAGGCCAATGTAGGATGTGTACAGTTCCCTGTTGGACTGGTCCTGTGCGCTGGCTCTAGCATGGTTCAATACAAACCAGCCCCAGAACCACCACTCAGGACTAATCTGGCAGTGCACAGCGCCAATTCCAGCCCTGCACCAGGTAGTCTGAGACCCACGGGCGATACGTTTTGATGTCCCAAATCTACTGTATTATTACAGTACAATTCATAATTCCTACATCTCTATTTGACTGAGGAATCTTTATCTTCCATGATTCCTGGGCTCAAACTGGGAGCA